CCCCCCCCCCCCCCCCTTGTTTAACCAGGCTTGGAGCAGTCCTGAATAACATTAAAGCGCTGTCTCTGACAGCTCGGAGTGCTTTGCCACAGGTGTAGTTTTCCCCCAGAGGACTCTGGGTCTGAACGCTGAGGAGAAAAGAGCATAGATGTCCTTTCTTGCCCTTGACAAGAAAAGGGTGAGTATTGCTCAGCAGAGGGTTTATTTAACAGCTTGCTTGTATCCATGGGGTACTATCAAGCAGTAAAATGTTAGTAAGTTTAGCAGGGGATACTACTTCCACACTGCCCAGTATTAAGCTGTAAAAAATCATCCCTGAAATATGCTGCCTTCTGTGATGAGGAGTTACAAGTGGGTTGTAATTCACCAGGTATTTCTGAATGCAGCGATAGGTAAAAGATAGACCACTGCACCAGGTGATGCGGGAGTGGAGAGATTACTGAGTAAGAAAAGCTGGACGGGGAATTACTTTTCATGACACTAGGGAGCCACGTTTCAAATGTGGTTTATAATTGTATGTACTTTACCTGTCTCTGAAATTCTCTTACATATATTAATGTTATAGCGATCTATATGAACAAGATGGGCAGTATGCCAAAGGGGGCTGTAATTTTCAAGTACCTCCGTATTGTTATTGGAGAGGGGAGGAGGATATCCACCAACAGTATAATTATGTGGCAATTCCAGGGAAATTGATTATTATTAGCTTTTTATGATCACACTAACAAAGTCAATGATCCAAGATGAAATAGCAAAAATTAGTGCTTGAACAACATTCAGCAACAAGATATCACCAGGTGAGAGCGGATGTATCCGAAACCAGGTAATTCCTGGAACTGAAATGGCCATCTCCCACCAATTGTAATGATGGATGTGCTCTATTAAAGCCTGATCCGCTCTAATGGGGGACTCCCAGGATGAGAGGCCATGTAAGTATGCAATGACACATACAGTATCGAGAAGGGGTGGGTGTTTATTCTAAATACCCACATCACTGGGGTATTTGCACCTTTAACCAACAGAGAGAATTACAGGTACTGAATACAGATCGATTTCTTCAAGTTGGTTATTGCTTTAACAAAATCTTTTGTCACTTTTTCTAACATCCACCTTCAGTCCCCCAAACACAGCACGGAGACTGGATACCTGCAGAGTCAGAACTATCGTTTGCCAGCCAGGTTGTCCCCTTTGAGGCTCTGTGGTTTTTATAAATAATAATTAAAAACACTTCTCTGTGATGTGAGAAGGCTTTTCTAAAAGGAGAGCAAGTTGCTGCAATACAATAGCGTAACATATTTGAAGGTCATAATAATAAAGTAGGGGAAAGAGAATAATCATTATTGCTCTTTCTTGTAATTAGTTTGCTTGCTGATATCCCACACTGCAACTAGAACATTATTCAAGAACACCCATCACAGTGCTTAACAAGATTTAATGTACATTTATTCTTAACATGTGGAACATATAAAGATTTTATACTGAATAAATGAAATTCATTAAGCCAGAGGAAAAGGAGGAATTTACATCAAGTTTTTTCTTTTTTAACTACATTATCTTGAAATACAAATGCAGATTCTTGTCACTGAAAAATCTTTGAAGTTGTGTTTCTTCTTTTTTTTTTTCCTGTATATATTTTTTTGTCTGTAGACTGGTAACCATTTTCTTAAATCAATCCATACGTAACCATTTCCACACCTTGATTTATAAAGCAAATTGTGATCGGCTGCTCTCCCGAAATAGAGCATGACTTTATACATACAGAAACTTGTACATTACCCTCAGTTGTTGGTTTTCTGTGTTGGGTTTTTTCTTTTTTCTTTTTTTTTTTTTATTATTTTTTGGAGATATGGCCCAAATGAAAGAAAAAATAATTCTACTATCACTTTGTAGATACCACATCATGAAAAAGAAACTAAAAACTTTGTACTAAAAAAAAAAAAAAATGAGGGTATGTTTAATGTACAACTTCTATATACATCACGGCCCTTAGGCAATAAAAAAATATTTTAAAAAATGATTAAAGGAATTGTGAAGAACTGTCATTGTGGAAGGTCAAAAAAAAAAAAACAGATGTAGACAAGACAGTTCTGGTGAGGAAGCAATTGATGTTTGTCATCAGGTTTTATTTAAAAATCTTTTAACTTTTTTGTTTTGTTTTGCTCCTAGCCTAATGTAACCATTTCTCCTGAGGAGAAACCAGTATCGTTTTGTATTTTGACTACTGACTGACACCCTCCTTGATCCCCTACACCTACATCACTAGAATCTTCTATTGCACAGAGCTTTGGGTGATGGTATACAAGTTTTTTTTTTATTATTTTTTCCTTATTTGAAAAAATAAAACACACAGGAACTTGGTATGTTGGTTATTTTTCACTTTTTTGTTTCAAAGTGGTGAGATTTTTTTTTTCCCATCATACAATGGTTTGCCATAACATTTTTTTTTTTTAAAAAGTCACTAGTTCGCTTCCCAAAAAATATGCAATACAAACATGGAAAAGAACATTGAAAAGGATAATCTATGGAAAAAAAAAAAAAAAGTGTGACCTTTGAATGTACTAGACAGCAACTTTGGTTAAAAAAAATAAAATAAAAAGATGTACTTATACACATAGACAGCAAATATTAATTTCATAACTGTTCAAATTAATAATTTCTTTAATTCCCAATTGGTAAATAGTGAATGGGGCAGAGGAGCAAAGATTCTTTTTTTTTTTTTTTTTTTTTTCCTTCTTCCTACGTTGGATAAACAAGAACAGAAAACAGCCAGTTATATGTGACCCTCTAATCTCCACTCACACATGCTTGGCTTCTCACTTATGTCATAACTGCCCAATCTGAAAAAGTACATCACAGATGACAGATGCAACCAGAGAGTTCAGGACAGCAGATATTGAGATATCCAGCAAACGACCCTCGTGCAAAAGGAACTCTGAGCGGTTCTCGTCCACTCGAGCCATGGCCAGCAAGGCCTTGGCTGCCCTGCACATCATGTCTACGCTAGGCGGCTCCAGGGGCGGAGGCTGCATGTGCATGAGGTTATGCTGGCTCTGCTGGTACTGGGCCATAGTGACCCCATCCTCCAGGAAGCTTATCAAGTTTCCGATGCTTCCCTTCTGCACAGCTATTGCCCTTGCTGCTAATGTGTCCCCCTGGGCAAGGTTCGATAAGAGTGCCATGGACATTTCTCGGCAGACCGGGTTTTTGCGGTCCCCAACGTACCTAACTAAAGTAGCGTAGAGTTTCTCCTGACGACTGAATGGGGGGGTGGCCAAGATAAGGTCCACATTATTGTCCTGGATACTGAGCTTACACAGGGTCTCCAGCACAAGTCTCTGAGGCGAAAGAACCGAGTTGGGCCCCACGGTTGGAAAAGGATCCTGTGCCTCTGCAGACGGGCACACCATCCAGTGCAGCAAGCCATCCAAAATTGGCAAACAGATGCTTTCTGTGTAAGCAGACAAGTCTAGCTGCCCAGAAATGTTGGCTAATGTGACCAATGTATTATCCCTCAAGACTTCGAGGCAGTCCCACCACCACTCATCCTTGCTGCAGGCCACCCCTTTGTCCTCCTCTTCCTCTTTCTCGTAAGTCTGCGGCGCTCGCTTTCTTTCTGGATGCTCATGGTGAAGAAGGATCAACTTTCCCAGGATCAGCACCAAGCCTGGATGTTTGGACATTTCGGTGTCATTGCCAGGCACAAAAGACAAGCTACGGACGATATTTGACACACAGATGCAGCGTTTGGCCAAGGAGTCTTGCCAGTGAGTTATGGTGCATAGAGGAGTCTCATCCCGGCTCCTTGGCTCATCCTCTAGCAGTTTAATATTCCGGTGGCTTTTGGCTTGATGGATCCCAAAGGGAAATTTACTGCTCTCTGTTTGGGAACCAGAGTTTGAGTCTTCAGGCAATGCTCCTGGCCGAGCTGAGAGGACATCATCAATGGTTGCTGTTATACTTTTTTCTTGTTGTTCCTCAGAGTCACCTTTCCCCTCGAGGTCCTTCTTTTTGCTTGGAGAGTTCAAGGGAGGAGGGGCTTTCCTGCGTGGAGGAATCTCCATCTTGCTTTCAAAGTGAGTCTGGATATGCTCAGTTGTGTCACCACCACCAAGCTGCCAGTGGAGAAGTCCACTATCAAATTCCTGAACACGTCCAAGTTTGTCAGATCGGTCAACAACAAATAGGTTATTTTTCTTTACAATCTTTATTGGCAGCTTGTCAAATTTACTGGCTTGTTTTGGCCTCTCGCTCGGATCAGCAATGGCACCAGGAGTGGAAAAAACAATGCTCTTTTCTTCTCCTTCTACCTTTTCATCCTCCCCCTCCTCCTCATCTTCATCAAAACAGTCAATACATTCGTCGTTCTCCTCTTTTCCAGTATCTTCTGCCAAGGACTGGCTATCATCTTTCTTGGCTGCTTTGTGATCAAGTGCTTTGTGGCCTGGATCTCCCACTTCATATTCCATAAGGATTCCAAAAATGTCAATCAGGCATTTTCTAAAATATTCTACTAAAAGCTCAAGAAATCCAGACAACTGAGGGGAGAAGAAAGAACATAAAAATCAGATGAGTATTTTTGTCTGCATGGAATTCTATTAGGAAGACTGATGCATACATCTGTGAGTATTTCCCTCCTCCTGCTGTGGACATGTGGCTAGGTCCAACCAAAGGACATTCTTCTAGCGTCTGTCAAAACAGTATATATAATGTCAAACTGTCATGGCTCCATTTGCTTAAACTGTAACAGCTATCAGAAGTACAGAACTTTATTCACACGTCTCCTTTAAGCTACAGCAGACACCTAGCCTAGCTGTTCTGTCCCTTTGGAAGTGTCTAGTATTCTTTTTCTGTACAGAGTACTGGAGTTTCTAACTCAGTTTTTCTAATTTGTACTTTTATTAGCTGCCTAAAGGTTACAATTTTTCCTCTCCTCCTTTGTCTCCCAGTCCCTAAAACCAACTGTCCTGTAGGACTCTGCAGCTCAGGGCCTAGGTACTGACATCCAAGATTAACACCCCATCTCTACCGGAATAGTTCCATTTCTGCCTGGCAATATTTAAAAATTGTTATTGGAGCCTGGTGCTGTAAGTCACCCTTCAGAAGCAGTTTTCATTTAGGTTTAATCCTCTTAATTAACTTGTAATCACTTTCTTATGGAAAGGCAGTAGTTGGACTTGGTATTAATTTACTGTCGGTGGCTTTATTATTAAAAATTCTTTACAGTTATGATGTATTCAGCCTGATTGTCTGGCTTTTAATGTTTTTTTTTAAATCGTGGGCTAATACTTTTTCAGCAAAATGTATCCTTTTGTCCATTCCATAGTCTCTTATGATTGCCAAACCCTCAAAGAATTAAGAGCAAACTGATTCTTATGAACTGCAGGAATTATCAGTGATCACAGAGAGTCCTGACTGCCATTGGAAATAGAGTCCAAGGCAAAAGTAACAAAAAAGAATATATTTAAAATATGCCTGGTATTCTGTGCAACTTGCACAGGCTGCCTTAATACAATTTCTAATAGAATTCAGAGGAGATTCACCTCACAACTTCAAACACTCGCAACAGTTACACACCTAACCTAATTGTCTAGATTCCTTTTATAATCAATGGTCTTCTACAGGCCATTTCGAGGGTATGATTCATCCAACCTATTTTAGAGCTCTACTTCAGAATGAGATGAATCATGCTATAGATATCTCTAGTTCTAAAGTTAGGTGGGATGAAATGTACCATTTGTGTCTGTATTTAAAAAAAAAGGTCATTATATTTAAAAAATGATGAGTTATGCTATTAGTAACCAAGGAATGAATGGAGCAGAGAAACTGAATATTTAATTTGTACAAATTTTAGATGATGTGTGTTATCAGCATGCCATCTATTACTACCACCTAATAGGCCAATGGTTAGAGGAGGGCTGAAAAATGCTGGGAGGTGGTGAGGCAACAGCTCACACTGTTAAATCCTGTGTTACTTGCATCCTGTGGACAGACAGTGGATTTTAGCCTTTAAATTGTCAATCTAGTATTTCTGTGCAAACTTAATTTACTGGAAGAAGAAACCAAACAGAAAATAAGCAATTAAAAATATCCCACAGCCCAGTACGGAGCTACTGAGTAAGACAAGCAGTCACCAAAAGACAGCCTCAAATCAATTTAATATAGTTCTGCAAAGCCTTTTATGGAAACAGAAGTTAAGCAAGATTACTAGTATACTGCTGTTTTCTGGGATTGTCCGTGTACTATCAGGAGTGTGAATTTACACATTAGTCTTCTGTCCATGCTAAAATTCTTACATTCCTACGTGCTCCTCTCTACAAGAGACACCTTTCTTTCAGGGTTATTATTTCTCCTATTTGACCTAAAGCTACCTCTTATGGCTCACTGTTACCAATCATAAAAAAGGGCAGTTTTGCAATATTCAAATTTACGTTGATTATAATCAATTTTAAAGGACATCAGCATTTTTGGAGGTATCTTACTTCTGTTTTTTTTCCTTGGGAAGTTGGGAAGTATACTGCTTTCCCACCTACCTGAGAGAGGTTGAAAGTAGCGACAGTACTGTCATCATACAGAAGAATATTAATAGTGTCTAGCGCCCAGGTACTTTCAGCCAAAAGACCAGATTTAAGAGACATCATCACTCTCCAGGCCTCAGGAGTTACTGGAGGAAGAAAGGGGGAGAAGTAAAACACTATTAGTACATCTTCAGAGACCATTAATGAGTTCTGAAAGATTAAACTGTGACATTCTGAGGATGCAGAACTCAAAGCACATAAGTTACTGAAACACTGGTTAAGACCTTCCTTTCACCACTTAGTCCTGTTCAGGTTTTCTGTAACTGCTGCTCAGCTTTAATACTGGAGAATATCTTAACAGGGCAATTCTTCCTGACTTTGCTGAAGCCAAAATAATCGTACAAACTTGGAGAAGTTGACCAAACCAAATAATCAGGAGGTGGAATACTCTGTCAGGAGTGTGGGAACTTGAATGTATGAAATGTAACAGGAATTCAAGCTAAGAAGATACCCGAGAAAGAACAGGAGGAGAAACAAACATGACAAATAATAGTATATAATAATAACATAATGAATAATTGGGCCATTCAAAGGAGGCAGAGACTGTAACTACACAGCAGAACAGCACAAGCTTCCATAGAACAAGAACAGAAAGCTTTGCGTAGCTAAATGTTGTATTGGTGATTTATCAGACATTCTGAAGGACCTTTCAACACATATGATTTGGAAATCTGAGGCAAGCTTCATTTTTAATACATTTCTGCAGACCTCAGGTCTCCGTATAAAATATTGCTTTAATTTCATGTCAGATTGTCTGGGATGAGTTTTACCTATCATCATCCTTACTGATGCGTATGTTATTACATTTTTAGTGAAGACAATCACATTATAGTTACCAAAGTTAACTATTTGTCAAAATAGTCTTAAAATGTAAAGGCAATCAAAGTCTCTTTCTCCCAACCTATTTTGCCATTTGGCTTTTGTTTTGATGCTTACCAATATCTTTTGAGGTAATCTTTCGTCTTGGTTTTAAGACTGGTTGGGATGCTTCTACAGAGCCTGGGGGGAAGGTAATTTCTCGCCTAATCGGTGGTGGTTGGGGCGGAGGTCCTGTGACCTGTGACACTGGAACTGTGGGTATAACCTTTTGCATCTTCATGGAGGGTAGGAAAGGAGACTTGCTTGGAGACATACGGTTTTCCAAAGAGCGCTGGAAGGATGCCGGACTTGGAGCTCTAGAGATGTGGTTTGGCATAGAGGGTGGCGTCTGGTAGGATGACTGAGGAGGTCTAGTGATAGGCTGCATGGAGGCTGAGGATGACATATAAGAAGGCTGACGCTGGTTGACATGAGAAGGCCACTGACTCTCGTGGTTTATCCTCTGGTCAGGTACCATCATATCATCAGTACGATTCATCCCTGGATACGGTGGGGCCTGTGCAGGGCCTCCTGGACCTTGCCTGTTCTGGTAAGGGTAAGGCATATCATTGCGTGTTGGCCACATGTTCTGCTGAGGACCTTCACTGGAGGACGATGACTGCATGGGGCCACCAATCATCTGGGGAGGTATTCCATGCTGCTGCATTTGTCCTGGGCCCTGCATCCTCTCCCTGTTATATGGATACGGGTACTGTCCCTGCATGGGCCTCCTGTCAGGCCCCGTGTACGCATTGCTGTACTGGTTATACATTTCCTGTTGCTGGTTGCCATACTGCATGTTATACATATCCCCTTCATGGCGTTTGGCTGGAGGCCCATACATGCCATCCATATGTCGCTTATAGTTCTGAAAAAAAATGTTGGAAATAAGATGCATCACTCTTACTCCATACACAATACAAATATATTGGCTGAAAGCTCATTGAGAAAGTTGAAGGCGCTTAGTTCTAGAGGGGTCGTGCTGATTCCAGAGTCAGGCGCACAGTGCGATGCTTAGGCTTGATCCAGTGCTTGCTTTTTAAGCCTCTGTTTTGTTGCGCTTATAACTCAATACTAAAAGGAAACTTATCCTTGGGCTAAATTTCTTACGCTTGCTCTCATTTTCTCCCTTTCCTTTCCTATCTGTCAGATTAAATTCCTCCAGTCATTTCAGACATGCATGAAAAGGCAATGGTCCTCAACAACTAAAATATTTTAATTTCTTTTTTATGCTTAGTCTACTAAGAAGAAAACTCTTACAAAAATTCAAAACCACTCAGTGAATCTTTTCAAGAGACAAGCACTGAGTAAACTCTTAAAATAACCAGACATGCTGCAAGCATGCACGTCTCAAACACTGCATCTTACGATAGGGCATAGGCTACACACAGTAAATTTATTAGTGGAGAAAACATTCTGCTACATTTGCTACTCTGTGTAATTCCCAGGAACACAGGCCTGTTTGGGCAACCATCCCTCTTCCCAAATCATCCTAATCACATTTAATTTACTGTGAGATTATTACAGCAAATGGTCACATCCAAATGTTCTGTTCTAGTTTATACAGGTTCTTACCCTGCTGATCAGTAATGAATTAAGCAATGTAACTAACAGCTGCCGCCTTTGGTTTATTCCCTCTTTGTTTCTCATCCTCTCAAGTGGGGAATGTTGTGTGAGGTAAGCTGTTTTACCTTGTGGGGGAGCCGAGTTGTTTTTAAATCACACAAGCTTGTATGTATTTATGTTTAAGACAGCAGAACAAAAAAAGACATGTTGCAGTTTGAGGGGAAGGTGGTAAGGTTTGCAGTGGTCTTTAGTTCCTGTGGGAGTTTGTTCCACAGTTCAAACCACACTGAGTGCCCTGAAGCAGAAAAATGTGAATTAAATGGGTGATTTTTGAATATATGATCTATGGCAAATTCAAAGTTACAGCTCCCCCGGAAACTGTAGCTCAGTCATATTGCACAATGTATACTAATGTACTAGAGTTAAGACCAGACAAAATTCTGTATGTATTCAATACGGGTCAGTTAAAACAGCTCTGGGATTCATAAACTCATCTTCCAACTCTGGTGCACATAAACCCACAACTATTGTGTTGTATGAAAGTAATTTTTTTTTTAATCTTGCTATAGAACTGCCTGGCTATCTGAGAAATACCTATTTTCAGCCTTACATAAACTACTTGCTGTAGTAAATTCTACCCTTGGGGCCAATTTATACATTAAGAACTGGCTTGGCAGCTGCCACACCTAAAAAAGTGGTGTTTGTTTTGCCACGGTGACTCAGAGCGCTTAAAGTAGACACTTGGGAATGAAGAATGTGCCTCCTCAAAAGCAGTTCAGCGCTTTTGTGTACAGAGTGGTCACATCCCTAACGGCACCCAGTGCTGAGGACTGCGATGCCCCTGAACTCCCCCTCCTGTGTAAAGGTTTGCCAGGAGCCAGGCTGTGCAACGCGTGACTCTCTCCGCCAGGGATGTGCAATTTCTGAGACCTCGCAGCAGACAAAAAGACACCAACACAGGTCACCTGCTGCATAATAGCTCTCGGGGTGCGAGCATTTGTACAGGAATTGAAAAACCTGGCTCAAAGTGCTTCGTTAGCCCCAGGAGTTCCCGCTCCAAGCACCTTCCCAGGTCGTTCCCGAACCTTCAGATTGCAGGTAAAGCTTCCAAAGGGCCTTTTTTCACATTCTTCCTGGGCCACTATTGAGTGAGATTAGGAAAGTGAAAATAAGCTAGTGGCAACCTAATCGCTAACTAAATGAAGAAGTGGAATCTTCTGGGAGTGGGAGGGAGAGGCTGAGGCCAGCCAGGATCCTTGCCCTTCAATCTTCACTGCTTTTTTGCGTTAATGCATTTTGCATTCAAGAGTCAGTGTACAAAGCATGTAAACAGCACTAAGGACAGGGCCAAATATATCTTTACAAATTCTAGCTGTCTCCTTGCTTAAATGAACAAGTAGTTAATATATTCCCTGCATACGTTAGCATGGAATATCACAAACTGTTCTGTTATACATCTTTGCAATTTCCCCATTAAATCACCTAGACTGCTAGCATATGCTCATCATAAAGAACAACAAAACAATTTTTTGATTATGCTATTTTAGGGATGCTACGAACCGAAGAGATAAGCAAGAAACTACGAAATTGAAATTTATATACATTTTCAGTACAGTGCAACCTCAGATCTCATCTTTTGGGTCGTGTCCCCCCCAAATTTCCTAGTAAAACTCTATCCCAAACTGAAAAGGACTATCTGAAATTGGCTGAAAATTAGCTTACATCTTAATTTTATATTACAAGGAAATGCTTTCTATTTTGGAAGTTAACATCAACTTTAATTATTGTATGACTAGAAATGAACTAGTAACATGCAGAATGAAACTCTAATGCTGCTGAAGTCAGCAGAGTTTTGCTATTGACTTATAAGATGGGATTTTGCCCGCAAGGTATTAATAATACACCTAACCAAAAAAAAATCTTATTAATTAATGTAATTTGTATTTTCGAAGTTATTACACAGTTTGGGAGGCTAGAATGTAGAAATGTTTATTTTTAACACCAATAAAGTTCTCTCTCAAGCATTTGTACAACACTATCACTAGAGATAACGTGGGGAATATGCCGTCTGATCTATATAAAAGATAGGTATCTCCTATGACCTACCACAGCATTCTAAATAATTGAGAGCGCTGCACGTTTTATTTTGTTCTAGTTTTCTGTTGGGTTCACTTGGCTGCATGTCATTAAGTCAGGGCCCTTCAACCTGCCAGCCAAGCAGCTTTCCGATTTGTTTCTGGAATTGAGGCAGCATCGCTTTACTAGCCTACGGATTATACTTTCCCAGTCGACTGGTTATTAACTTGGGACAATCACTTGATACATGTCCAAAGCCACAGAACATCTGTTAAAATTTACACTCTTCCAGTGTAATGAACACATTTTCCTATAGCTCCACATGCGCTGTTTGTCCATATGCGCTGATTTTGACCTGAACTACAGTGCTCCTCTGTGCCAAAAGACATACATTGTATAAACAATTTTTTTAATGTATACAGAATTTTGGGGTGACATTTATTAAACAAACATTATGAATACAGCTGTTTTCCCCTCTCCTACCTGCTGCTGTGGGTACATTCCAGGTTGATGTCCTCCATACGGTGGCTGTCCTGAGGGAGGTCCTTGTCCTGGATACTGCTGCCCGTATGGTTCATGCCTAAAACGAAGCATTCAAATCAACACTTAGAACTGCTGGAATTTCCAAGCCACCAGGAAAAGCAAAGTACCCTGATGATCGGGCACCCGGAACATATTTGCCATTTGGAAACAAGGCGAAGGTACAGTGTGGTATGGTCCTGAGCCTGATGTAGTAAGGTCTGCTGGAGCTGGTAGTGGAAGGAAGGAGATAAAGCAGACAGAAGAAAGGAGAAGCAGTGAAGACGCAACAGAGAGATTCAGAGGCATCAGTCGGGAATGGGAATAGGGTACAGTCAGCAAAGAGGCAAGAAAGGCAGCTGCAGGCGCTGGGAACCCATCTTAGGTGGAAAAATATCTGATATACAGCTCAAAGGTTGCAAGTCAAAATTCTTGTGTTTTAACAAGTCAGTCTCCAAGCAAGCTACTTTCTGGATTATTTAAGAATATAATCAACAGTTAACTGCCAATTCAAAGTGAAATCGTGACTTTAGTCTGACAATAGTGAATGAAAGCCAGTACAAATTTCATTACAATATGTAACATTTAAATACGTCATTACTGAGTAAAAACAGCACTCATAATTTTGCTAATGTTCATGTAATTTTTAATTAAAGCTATATAATGAAGCATACACATAAGAGGCAGATTTGTGTTGCGCTTGGAAACTTACCTGTGGTCTTTAAGACCCCTGAGGAGCCCTACAATGCAACTGCAATATTTTAGTACATCTGAATGAAATTTAGGTTGCTGAAATGAAGTTCTTGGAAAGTATTAAGATTGATAAATAACACAAGTATTAAGATTGATAAATAACACTGTATTGTGGACTAATATGTCAGTAATTCCTCTCTGTACATTACCAGTGAGAACATATCTACAATTCGAGTATAATTATGGAAGTAATCTATCAGGGAGAGTCAGAGAAAGAGAGGAGTGGGGAACCTGACATCAGAAAAGAACTAATGGGACCTAATTTTTCCAAAAGCATAGAAAACTCACATTTTTTGAGAGTTGACCAGAGTGAAAGCAATAGCTGTTCAGTATCTCCTAAAATTATGACATGGATGGAGAGGAATTACCTAATGCCAGTTAAAAGAACAGACGGGAATTGTCTACGGTTGTCCAAGATGGTACATGCAATAAGATAAAACTGAGTAAAGGTACACGTATGTTATACATAAGGGAACACTTTCTAAATGTTCAATTTGTTAGCCACAGGGTAACCACAAGCCAGGTGAAACTGTGGAAGCTTCAGAACTGATGTCATTTAATGCTGCTCTGGAGAACATGGGCCTATAAAATACGTTCCAGTTCAGTGCTGGCAGGGAGCTACAGAAGGTAAGATGTATACTCCTTTTCTAACAAATATTTCTAATCTCTGATTCTACGGCTACAAAAAGTCAACTGATTCACCCAAGCCTCCACCCCCGCCCAAGAAACTGAACCAATGGTAAAAGCCTAAATAAGAACAGACAAAACAGAAGTAACACACCAAGAGGCCACATATTCTGTCTATGTGCTCTCACAGAAGCTGCTAGCACTCGTTAGCTGGTTATTGCAGTTATTACAAACAGAGAAATCAGTGTTCACCTTTGCTGGCCAGGGTAACGATTAGGAGAGTACATGCTTGGGTCACTGTTTGAAGGCACCATGTTGCTTTGACCAGGTGGTCCCATACTGCCTTCAGGACCCAGCCCATGATCCGACCTAAAAAATGACAAAGGAAACCTCATTCCGTAAAAAGCACTTATTCTCCAAAATTGCCAACAAAATAAAACAAAACACACCCCTTAAAGAAAACATTCTCTTGACTTATCACCTTCCACTGGAACCCTTACTCTCACTGACTCCCCAGCAATGTGACCTGTTGAACAACACAATTATACTCGTGTTACTCTACACGTCTACTACTTCAAACTACTGACTGAAGACTGCTCCGCCATTACACTTAAAAGACCCACATTGTACCACTTGGGCTACCACCAGGAAACAAGAAGGGAAGCTCAAGTACACAGCCTAATGAAAGTAAAAGCAGGAATACAGCCAGAGCTGCAAAACGTACTGGAATACTTAATATAATCCAAACACTCCCAAACCATTCTGCTTGCTATACCAATGCTTAAACATCAGTGATTTTACTGATTTTTTTTTTTTTCCCCCAAAGCCTTTCCCAGGATAAATAAAAGAGGACCAAATTAGCTTTGTGTACTTCACTGGAAGACAAACTTAGGAGGGTCCTGATGGACACACTGCAAGACTGGTGCCCCTACAGCTCAGACAACAGACTCCAGACTCCAAAAGCAATTCACTAACAGACCACAAACCAGCCATACTTAGGCTGTGCATTTTGGTTTTCATAAAAAGCCCACCAACAACTGTTTAGGTGAAAACATGGCCAGAAGACTAACTCAGGCGCTACTCTACACCATCACAGCCCAGCCCAGCCGAGCCGCCAGCTGAAGGCAGCTGTCAAACACACCCACGTGCTGATCTGCTGCATCTTGAGTGACTTCTAAGGTGTGACAATTCCTCCTTTTTCACTTCTATGAACAGCTAGACTCGGTCACTACCACTGGTTTGACTCCCAGTGATTCAGTAAGATGCTGTAGGGAATGTAGGCTGCTATGTTCTCTGTGAGGTGCAATGGGAAAATGAAAAGGGGAGAGAGAGGATCATTTTCACTAATGGGCTTTGCTTTTTCCTGAAGATCAACTCACCTCCTGTCATAGCCACTTCCATACGAGAACTGCTGTCGCTGGCTCATGCTCATGTTGGACATTGCTCCAGATGGACTCTGGTTATACATATCTTGTATTCCACTGTTAGGCATTTGTCCAGGGGTCATGAAAGGCTCATTGCTTCCAGGCACTGCAACAGTAAGGGAAATTAAATATATTATTCTGGGTGTTTGAAGATATTTTTCTATTAAATGATGTATTTTAAAATAATGTTCAAATCCCTAACACTGCCAAGGAGAATTAGCTGGTGTCTGACAAGCTCTCCAGGGTCTGATGAAAACACATGAAGCAGCACCACTACCATGATGATGGTTATAATATTAAGGAGCTGCAAGCGACGAAAGTAATCTCATCCCACGGAACTGAGCTCATCAGGCACCAGGCAGCTTCTTCCCTGCAGTCTTCATAGCTGAAGATGAACTTGCTCTTGTTCTTTTCACCCCAAACAATGCTGAATGTGAATGCAAACAGAAACCGTACAAAACAGATGAAAGCAAATCTCCTAGTTTGGATTACAAAGCTGTCAGAATCAGACTCTTCTTTTTCCCATAAAGCCCTCATACACACATGTATACCATAATCTAGTTATGGAAACGGTACTGTATCCATCCTAATGTAGCTTCTCAAGCAGGAGGGTCATATTCTACTGGTCCAAGAAAAGGCAGGTTGACCACTATTATCAGATATAAATCCCCAAGCAAATAGAGGAAGAGACTCTACCCTTTAGTCCCTCACAGTAGGTACTGAACAAAGACACTTCTGTTTCAACAGGATACATGTGAAATGTACGACAGAGTGCAATAAAGCCACTTAATCTCACTTGCATATAAAACCTAAAGGGACTCTAAGGCAGAGTGGGTTTTCCCTTCCTCCGACTGTGTTATGCTGTCCACAGTCCAGGCAAAAGGATTTAAAGGGAAGGTTTGAAAAAAAATCACATCAGATTAACTATCTATTTTAAAGCATCTCCCCACTTCATCATGTATCTTTTTTCCTCTGATTTCTGGACCTCTTCTTCCCATTCCTCCCTTTTGCTCCATTTCAGTTTCCACTTTAATTTAATTTCCTCCATCTGCTCTTCTCTTTGCAGCCATTGTGAGCCCTGCTTGTGTTCTTTCCTCCCACTTTCCTATATACGAGACATGCAAGACTGAATCATCTTAAGCACGTTTTACAATATCCACAAAACCATCTGTAAGTTAAGTGCCCAAAAGGACAAGAGTCAGGTTTCACGTTAATTTTAACTTTTGCTTTTTAAAAATAAACAAACTTTGAGTGTGTTTATCACCTTTTGTCAGGGCCTGTCTAGTGAGAAAAAAATTAGCTTTCCTATTCTCAAAAATACGTAAACCGAGACAGAAAACATTAGGAGACTTGCTCAGTTCCACACAGTGAATTCTTGGTTCAGCCCCACTACAACCAGGCATGTTGCTTCACCACTTCACATTCTAACACTGAAGTCCAGCACCTGGTTTGCAGAGTAGCTAAGCACCTTCAAGAAACATACGGCATTGCATAAAATCGAACCCTATGAATTTATGCCATTTCCTGAAATGTATTCCTACAAGCATTTTTAGGATTCTGTTAAGTCTAAAATAAACAGTATGACTCTGACAGGGGAAAATATTCCCAGACCAGAATGAACACAATTGCACTGCACCTCTTTTTGCTACAGGGATACCATTTTATCAATGGCAAAATCAGAAAAGTAAAAAAGCTCATTCTGATGACTAGAACATCTTGATTACATAGAAGCAGGGAAGAACATTTAAGCTCCGACAAAGAAAATACCTTTTCTCATTCCACCGAAAGGATCTTTATTCGGCTCGTATGGCATCCTTCCCATCATATCTGGCATGTTTATTCCCTGCTGGTATGGTGCATTTGGTGTCATGGAGTTTCGCTTTGGGAATGCTGAATCACTTACATCAGAAAAGGGATCATGCACACTAACTGCGCTGTTTCTGGCAGAGGAGAAAAAGAAGGCATTAACATCATTAACGTATTCATTAGGATTGTGAAAACAGAGTGGACTAATAATCGACCTAGCCCATGATGCTGTGGCAGTGATCAGTGCAGGATACATGTAAGGAAGGTGCAAAACACTTTCACAATGGACAATGATTAAAAAACCCTACCCATTTTCTTCCCCAAGCTTATCTGGCTACTTACCTTAAAGGTCAGAATTTTTAGTCTAATTCCACTGTGTGTGTTCCTATTACGCATATAAAAGTCCAAATCTTTCTGAAGTTTCACTGAGCTGCTCACCTCACTACCCCAAGGCAGTGAGCTCCACAGGTTAATTATATGCTGTGTCAAAATAGTATTACTTTTTATCAGTTTCATATTTATTACCTTTCAAATTTACCAAGCGCACCATTGCTCTCCTACTACAGGAAAGACTAAACAGCAACACTTGATTTACCTCCCAAATACCATTTACTGTTATGGAGAGGCACTAACCTTTATGGTTGCAGCCAACTTTATTCTAAAGCCCTTAAAAATCTGGCTTGGAAAATAGAGCTTCCCTGATAACTATCAGATTTATTCTTAATGCAAAAGAGAATTTTTTACATAGTGAAAGAAAACTCAATCTGAATTAAAGATGATTAAAAAAGGTTCTTGTTATCCTCTCTGCAGTATTACAGATGGAGGAAAAGAAGAACCTTCAGCTATGTTTTGTAAAGGACTCTTTTTGCTGGACTTCAGTGGGCTAAGGATCCTTAACGAACAGTGAGAAGGCTTCCCTTCACATTAAGCCAGTCTGTGTGACTTACAGGACATAGAACTGAAAGGGATCTCTTGGTCCATCCAGATGAACCCTCTGCTATCTCAACCACTGTTATTAAATACGCTTTAAATAATTTGCATTTAAGTAACACCTTAAACCCACATATTTCCTCCTTCCTGAGCATGACTGTCTGGAGCTGTGTACCGCAGGAGGACAGGGGAAGCAAGGAAAGGAAGGCTGTGGTTCTAAACTGCAGCTGCTGGGTTCTGCCTTCCTCCCCACTCTTCACATACTCGCTGCCCCACTTTGCACTGGTGCTTGCCCAATCCTCCTCTGGTGTTTAGAAGCTCATGCAGCTTCTATTCCTTCCTCCCTTTCCCTCTCCCCCCTCCAAAAAGAAATAATTTTCTGCTGCTTTTAAGGCTCTGACCAGTTCACCACAGAATGAGATGAGTGCCCAAGCAGCTGGGAAAGGGAAAGACCGGCTTGAACTGTTGTAGAACTACCAGCCCAACAAAAAATGAAGCAAAGCCCTTCTCATACCTGCCACCCTGCATAGGTGTCATCTGTCCATGAGGTGTTGATGCTGGTGTTGGGGGCTTCAAATCGCCTGGCACTTCTGTCATGGAATTACTACCAGTAGACTGTGGAGTCTGTGGGCCTTGCAAGGAACCAGAATTAGCTGGGAAATTAAATAAAAAGGAAATATTAAAAGGTAGCAGCCAAATTCCTGTGGAAATAATAAACACCAAGGAGAGAAACTGGTTCTTTCCCCTCATAAGCCTCCTTATACCATGCATCTCAGTACTTTGTAACTTCTCTCAAATCCTCTGAGATCAGGATATGCTGTGCAGTAATAGCCATCATCTTTCCTAGAACCATGAATTTAATCTGCTGCCTGAAGCAACATGAATAGAAATCATCTAGACGAAAGATCATTTAAATCAGAGGTCAGAGATACAAAGTTAATTGTCTACAGTTTACAACAGAGTAAATGAAGGTCGTTCTTTGGCATAGCTTCTTTATATAATCACTGTCATAACACACACGTTTGTAAGGGAAATTTCAGCCAGAAGCTTTTCCTCACAAATTTTAACTGCTGTATTAATATAAACTCGTAATTTCATTTACCCATAAAGGCAGATATTTCCATGGTGAAACATGGCAAATGATTCGTGGCACACGGCAACCCTGTGCCATCTTTCAGACAGTGTGGCAAAAGATTGTATTTAAGAAATGCAAAGACAATCTGGGGTAAGAAGAAAGTGATCACTGAAAGCAGAATTTGAACAGAGGACTACAGTTAACACTCCTAATGAAATTGTAAAAATAGCAATGGACATCTTAACAAAATGTAGTTAGGGTCATTGTAGAGCATATGTAACAAGACCAGGTTAATTCTGCAAAGCATCTATTTCATCTGCAAAGTCCTCTATGTTGAGATCTGAGAAAGCGATAGAGTGTCTGCTCTACTGTCCTCCTTAACCATGGTAAACACCTATATGCTTGATGACAACAAGCGCAGTGAAGCCTGTACTGCTCTTTTCTGATGAGACTGAGCAGTAGTAAGGGCATTAAGTGAATACATCATACAAGCTAATGATAAAATACATCCAGACCAGCCTTTTAAAGCAGACACTGAAGTTACTATTTTCATATGACTACTGAGGAGAAACACTCCCTGACCTCAAAGATCGGATGTAGTAGTTTTCCGAAGTAGAAGGTGGTGAGTGGGAATTTGTAAAAATGTCTAAGCCTTGGATCTGATTGGCCTTGCAGCAGAAATTCTACCCAAGGAGAACCTCTAGGATTCAAATCTTTAGATGCAATTGGGGAAAAAAATTACCAACAGAAAAAATTCACAAATCTAATAGACTCAGAAAGACATGGCTTTGGTTTGAGAGGTCCTTCTTTTTTATGAACTGTCACGTAAGCATTTTATAGTGCCTGACTATCTACATTCAACAACCAATTAACAAAACTTTATAAATTACTGTTAGAGGGAAAACTGGAACAAGCAGTATGGGCTTTGCTTCCGTATGTGAAAGAGAGAGTGGTTTATAATTGACTCAGAATCCTAGAACACTCGTCATCTTGACAGGCAGAGCTTGTTTTTAACTGAAGAACACCTTTTTTATACGTGCTTAATTTATATCTGTAACACAGGTTCCACTATCTGGAAATCGGTCGCAGTAGCAAGCGCGTATGCAAAATCCACACTGTGTAGACCACACTGTTCTTGTCCTCAGCTTTCTGAGGCACGTTTGGATTATGCTCACATAGTACTGAGGTTCAAAAAAAGTTTAAGAAAAGCTCTCTGATTGCATTAATACAGTAACAACAACATTTGCAACAACTAATGCTACAGTTGACTGAAGGCTTTAGTGCGATAATAAAACAAATCCATATGATAATAATAAAAAAATCACATTCACATAAAATGAGCCCTTTGTATATATGACCCCTGAGTGAGCCAGGATCATTCTCCAGCCCTTGAGCTTTAAATACAATTCTAGATTACTTCTAAAAAGGTTGAAAGCATTTCTGAGTTAAGCCACACATTGTCACATACCATCTTGTTATATTAGAACCATGTAAGTAAACATCTTAGTGTACCCATATACTTACTGTAAAATATGATATTGCCTAACCCTGCATATTTCTCTTATGGTGGGCTATTAAGCAGCAATTAACTTCTTCCCTATCCTACATAAGCAAGAACTTAATTCGTACCTAAAGTAAACCTAAAGAAAACACGTGAAGTATTTTTTAGTATTTACAGACTGCATGAATACAGAATCTTTATTATGAGTAACAACGTGGTTTATATAATCTTCTTATATAAGGTTAGGTTTAAAATCCAAAAGAAGATACCTAACTGAGAAGCTACAAGTCAAATGTTTATCTGCTGGGTGGTGGTTGTGGGTTGGTTATTTTTCCCTCCCTCTTTCTAAATGACTGGTTATAAACAGCTGAAAAAATGTAAGGCAAATGCTGCCATGAGAAGTGCAAAGTTTCTGGTACTGCTTCGTTAATATGCTTTGCTCTTGACCCCCGTTGGGTCAGGGACACTTCTACAGAACAGGGACTCCAAGGGTTTCAATCTCTGGATTAGGTCATCAGCTACCAAGAAGAGCCCAAGTGTGGACATGACCTACAACCGCAAAGACAATCATTTCTATGTCATACACTCACAGGCCACTGAACAGTTCACCTATATTTTAGTAACAGCATCAATGTAAATAACACATTCCTTGAGGAAGAATAAGGTAAGTATGTACTCTTAATGGTTACTGTTGGTAAAGCAGGTACAATTTTTAAGCAACTTAACTTTCTCTTGTAGGATGTGATTTTTGGTACCTTTGCCATGCTTCAGCCAATTCCCCTCAACCTAAATTTGTTTTGGAAATTTGCAGCTGTAACTGCCAGCTTTTTCTACAAACATGCCTTTGAAAATATACAGTCCTTTTCTGTTGTCCCCAAAAGAGAAGTATTTTTCTGTGAGTCTTCCAAGCCAAGTATCTATTTGGTCACCTTTTTCACACACAGTACCAGTGATCCCTTCATTGAGGAAGAGACTTAATGGTAATGCTGGGGACGTGCCTGTGACAGGGAAAGTACTCTTACTGTCCCAGCGCTTGTTCTGATTTGGCCAAATAAATCTGCGAAAAATACCTGCTGATACATAGAGATTAGTTTGCTACACATTCACCGCTTGGTTTTCTGAAGATCCGGTTTGCACGTATTTCAGGCTGCGGGTGAGCAGGACTCTCCCTGTAATTCAGCTCCTGGGTTGATCTGGGCAGTCTTGAATGTGGCGCTGAGCGCAAGAACCTACAGCCAGGAAGTCACCCCACACCAGCTCTCACGGTTACAGCTGCAGGCTGGCAAGCAAAGGCAGGGTGATAGGGACTCTGACCATCAACAGAAAAGAAGAATAGGAGAATTCAAGGGGACTGGGAACCCAGAAAGGAGATACGGATGCCGCTGAGATCAAATGAGAATTTGAGAAGTCTGAAGTTGTGTGGACATGGTGCTGCACAACAGGGAACACCACGAAAGCCCAGGGAATGCACCTAAGGAGAGTTACAGTAGGGGGAAATACCGCAAGTGGCTGGATAAAGAGACAAAGAGTTCAATACTGGGAAGAGTCCAATACTGGGCACATGAGTGAAATTAAATTTTGCACAAGAGGTTCTTAGACGTGTGCTCCTTTTCTCAGAGGGTCTGTTTAAAGATGCTGACTTCCAGCTGTGCAGAACATGTAGGGCAACAGATGAGATCATATAAAGGGCTATAGATGGCAAAACTTAGAAAACTGGCACCTAGAATTAGTGGATACTCATGTTGTAAATTTTTTGGTAGCCCAGTTTCTCTTCTGCGGAATGGGACTCATACTACTTCCTCTGTCAGATGGGTATTGCAAAGGCCGATGAATGTTTTTTAGAGCACTCAAATACAGCCGTAGTGAAGACGAGAAAAACCAATGAGTAAATTTATAACTCTCTGTTGGAGTCTGGTTGAAAACTGTGGCACAAGTAAAGGCTGTGAACTGAAAAGTGGCCATCACACACAATCATTGCACTGTTTATTCCATGCACTGAATGACGCTGATGTTTCATGGAAAAAATTTCAATATGACTGCGTAATTAAGACTGTATTGAACTGTATATGCACAAGGGAACATAATTAAGGTTGCAAACGTTATATCTCACTTTTGGCATTTCCTAACTTTTGAGCACTTGACTTTGCACCAAAGCAATACACTTCGAACAGTTTTTGGATATGGCATGTGCACACAGGCGCCTGCACGCACACACGTTAAATGCAAACTAGTTACATTCTCGCACATACATTTTACACACATTGCTATTAGCAGTGTTTTCTAGTTAAAGAATATGAAAACAACCCTCTTCTCTGTAAGAAAGTACCAAATTCCTTTTTCATGTTTCACTTTAAATTTTACATTTCCTAAGCTGCTCTCTGAAATTTCTACATCTATCCTTGCGGGGTTTTTATTATGGTAGATGTTTAACTTTGATTGTGGACGTCCTGAAATAGACACCGTATCTTTTAAAGTACTTCATAAGCTCCAGTATTAAACAAAGAACTAAGAAGGAAGACAAACAACAATGTGCTTTTAGAACAGGTAATCTCTGCTTACATCATTCTCCAGCTGACTTGGGGATGTCCAGGAAAAAAACCCTGTGGGTACAAAGCTACCGAACTCTTCATCTCACATCCACATCTAAGCAACACTTGTCTTTCAATTTGGAAGAATATGCTTTTAACAATAGGAAATCCATCCAAAATGAAATAAAATGCACATCTTTGTCAGTGAGAAGGTGAGGTCCTACAAACTCTTCCACAACTCACTCAACAGCACGTGTGATTCTTGGAAGCATGGAATTACAGCACCAGCATGGCTTTTCCCTTGCGAAGCCTGCACGGCAGTAAGTACTGCTTTCAGGAAAGACCCTTTATTGATCAGAACAGAAACATGCAGTCACAAAAAAACCCCAAATCTTTCTCTTGCCAGAAATTTTTTCCCTTCAGGGGGAAAAAAAAAAAAAAAAAAAAGAAAAGAAGAACGCAACCTCTTGAAACTCCCTTAATGTGAGGCCTGACATGCTCTCTAGGATATCCCTACCTTTTGCCAGAAGCTACAAATGTATACTCTAAAGTAAACAATGGAAAGGTTACTGAAGGTTAAGTACATTCGCATACTTCAGCGCGAACAGCCAGCCGCCACGCTGGGAAGATAATTTACACAGCACGAACCCGTGCCCTGGTTAGGCCGGGCTGGGGGCCGCGGGCTGCGGCAGGGCCCCCCTGGGCGGGGACGGGTGCAGGCACGGGGACACCTCTATCTGTCCCCTCGTCCGCCCCTCCTGACCCCTCGCCCATCCATCCTCTGTGGGGATTCCCTGGCTGGCCTCATGACACGCGCCATGACATCACCTGCCTGCTAATAATAGCGCTTCAGTCAGCCACCCGCCAGCAGAGACGGATGGGTTTGGTTACAGACGCACTCACTGAATGGCTGTGTGGTGTGGGGCTGTGTCGTATCCCCCCCGCCATCCCCCTCCCCAAGCCTTGTTTCTCTGCTGCCAAGGAAACGCAAGGAGCGCACTCTCGGCGCCCGCTCGCTCCCTCTTTCCAACACAGGCGCACAATTCCCCAGGTTTGCTGTAATGAAATCTCCGCTGACATCAGGGCCAGCTGCTGAGCGATACTCAGGGGCACCCGGGGTCGTACCACTGTGACCGTCCTCTTCGTTCAGGATAAACGCTCAGTCTGTAATTTTGAGAGTCATGCATAACTAACCACGTACTACCGCTAAGAATTTACAGTGCCGGGGTACAGCAACGGAAAATAACTCCTTCATGCTGATGCTCTTTTGAAATTTGTTCTCCGGCACCTATTAGCTCTTAGCATAATGGCCGCCAGAATTCTTTTCAGTTTAGAACTTGCCACAGAATTTGTGCATATTTTGGTCAAACCTATCAAACGTGCACAACAGGAAGAGTGTTTTGTCTTTGCACCCACTTCTGGAGAGCACTGGAGTCCCAGAAGGATGTTTATGAAGACCTCCAACGCCTCTCTCTCTCTAAGGGATTTTCTATGCAGCAAAAGAGCAGTCAGCAGTGGACACGGACCTCGGCACAGCCCCACCAACCAGGCCGTAAGGCCAACAGGCTTCTCTAACCACGAGCCTCTCGGTAGGCATCTGCCGCTGGGCCTCGCAGCTGACGGCACTCCCTGACCCAGGCAGGTTTAAGCTGTGATGCAGAGGGCTCGGCCGGCCACAAGCAGGTCTCTGGCTTGCACAGCCTCAGAGCAGCGCAAGCCGTCCTAAAACACATTCAGGCCCCCTGTTTTTATGAAAGAACAGAAGAGGCTCTGGCAGGGATAAGAAGCCAGAACATTTCTTAAATTTGGCAGCTAATCCTACCCCTAACACCTTGGTTACGGTGCCAACCTCTGCCGAACGAAGCCAACCAGCCTGTCGCTTTGCTGCTCCACTCTCACTCCTTTTTTCCACTTTTTATAATTGCTGACACTATCCTGAATTGCACTGTACATAGCACTACATTATTCGCTCCTTTACGTACCGTTTACCTTCTTAATGATGTTGTAACAAACAGAAGGGATGGGAGAACCCCAAATACAGCGCTACAAGCAAATGGACTAGCACACAGACCCAGGACCACTGCCTCGCAAGCCCCAAAGCTTTGACTTACACATCGCATTCTCTCCTTTTCCGTTCTTTAGGAATCTCCTCACTATGGTTGTTGCGCTGCGTTTCCTAGCGTTCCCTCTAGGATCGCAGTTTAAAGGTCGTCTATAAGGCAGTCGCATAATTAGCCCTTGGATGCGAGACATCTGCAAGAACCAATTTGCTCTGAACTGTGCTTCGGCCTGCTCCCACCTTGCGTAACACCACCCGGGAACCGCATCTACACAGGAACTGAACTCTTCTCCGTCTCATGAAGTCCCTATGTATTCTTATGAGCGACTGAAATACTTAGTTTTAAAAGTTTCACGAAGCTCAGCTGATTTTTAAACTCTCAAGGCTCTGATTTCATAGCATTAGCTGGTTAGAATTGGACGAAATACAACACCCTCCCCTCTCAGACGAGTCCCCCTGCTTTTTTACCAGAATTAACTTTGGCCCTAATACTGTAACTGCTTCTCTGCAAACGGATTTGGCTTCAAAGCGGCTCTGCCTACCCTGAGCTAACTGCGCAACAGAGGCGAATGGTTAAAGCCAGGACCTTTGGAGGCTACTGTTCCTTGTTGTATTGGGCTCCTGTTCCCTCTGAATGCCAAAGAGGAACAGATTATCTAAAGTACGTCTACAACTCTACTTCTTTTGTGCAGTTAAAATGTTAATGTTGGTATATACCAAAGGAAAAGGAGCAAGAAAAAAAGCTGACTATTAAAGAGAACAGGCTTGTACTCTCCGCAGCATCTATACCTCAGCGGGATTTCATGTACTAAAGCTGATACACACTGGGAAAGCCTTTCTCCGTACAGAAGTGCAGTCCCATTCAGTGACACGAGCTCTTTTCTCGCCAACAAAACAAACCTTGAGATCTTTGCTTGCTTCCCCCTTTGCTAGTCTCTATGTCCTGCTGTGTTTTTATTTTAGAAAAATAGTTTCAGTTCTCCTCACAGACAGCTTGCTTGAATGTTGTGATAAATTTAAACTCGGACTTTGCCGTTTTCATCTGTAGCGTCATGATGCAAACGGACCCTGTAAAAGTGGTATGTCTGACATTTCTATTTGTTTCAGGTTTACATATCAAAAGAATGATTCTTCACCTCAAAATTCAGCCAAATTACAGTGATCATCCCCGAACCAACTACTGAGAGGAGGGATGGAGAGAGAGGAGTGCGGGAGGAGAGAGCAAAGGAAAATACTCTTTCATTTTCAGTACTGCTGTTTAGTTTTAGAAACAGATGAATTTCCTCCTGACTCTCCTTAACCCATCTAACAGTTTCAGCTCTCCTTACCAGCCTTCTCAGGAGGTGACAGGCATGTCCAACATCTTTTATTTTTTGTAGCAGTGCACATTCAGGACACTCTATGCTCACTTCAGACATGAACATTTGGACGATAGGCTTCACTCCTAGTACCAAGTGTTTTCCCGCATCTTCTAAACTTGCATTGCAAAGTAACCTAGTTATCTTTTTTATCAAATAATCAGCATTGGGGTACCTGACAACCCTAGGTTTTAACAAGGTGGAGGAAATATTTAAATTATTACACAGAGAGATGTACCTAGGAAGATTTTAATGAAACACTCCTCCAAATCCTTACACTGAATACATCAGGTTGAGCCTTATTGCCGTTATCTTTTTCTGTAGTGACAAGGTGCTATCATAAGAAATGATCTCGTAAAGGCCAGAACTGTATTACATGATTATAAAGGTCTTTGCAATTTTCTAGTATCCATGACAGGATACTGGAGCCATGCCGCCTGCAAGCTGCCCGCAGAGCTTGCTGGGTCCCTGACTCCTCACGTCCCATTTTCAGTCAGTGAGCCGTACTAACAGAAATCCAGTTATTTAATAGTTTCCTAAAAATGCCTTCTGCTGCAGGGACCTGCCGTAAACACTCCAGGAATTATATTCTCTTGGCAATAAAAGAAGCAGGTCTGCCTAATAGTAATTGTGAAGGTAGTTCACAAATTTTGTATAATTATTTTGTTGGTCCGAAAAGCCTAATAACCAGCAAATCAAAGGAAGTTTTCTCCTCTTCCATGGGTAGTTCAGAAGTCAACGTCACAGACTAATACTACGCCTCTTCCTATGGACTTAAAACATTTCTACTCAAGAATTTTCCTGCCTTGAATATCTATCGTGACTATCAAATCCTCAGTCTTAAGTTAAATGAATTTAGAAAGAAAACAGCGTGGTTTCAAACACCACACTATACATGCAAAAAGAACAGTCAAAATAAAACAATTCCAGTTCCAATTTTTCAGACGAGAAAATAAAGACAGTGATGCTAACAACTTATCTGACATACAGGATGACCAACAAAGGAACAGGGAGCGTGCCTCCAAACTACGGGGTCTGGCAGTGGGGATGCCCCATACTCTCAGCTCCCTCCATCTGCCACGCATTCAACACAAGCTGTATCAGAGCAACCATCTGAGACCCTCTGATCAGCCCAGCATCTGCCATCCTGACTCCAATCGAAGCTCTGCTCATCAACACTTGGGTTGAAAATGCAGCTTCGGAGCCACAGCAAGGAAAGTGCAAGTACCAGAATCTGATCTTTAGACAAACGGATGCTTCTTTTAGCACCGGCTGCCTCCTCTCCTGCGGCACAAGCACATCCGTGCAGAATGCCGTTCTTTTCACTGTGCCAATGTCACTCTGAATATTATGGGTATGCTGGTGCACACGTCTTTATACGTGACGAGTGACAAACTAGACACGTGACTGCGGATGGCCCTTCAGAATGAAATCGGAGTTGACTCAGGAGCGAGCTCCAAGTTCGAAAACAAGACGCCAACAACATACTCATCCTCATCGTTTGGCCAGCAGCAGCGAGACACGCTTCTAACGACACGAACTGCAACCCGGTGATTTTTGCATTCCAAAAATGGTTGCGTAAGAGCCTGCAGTCTTTGGGACTTACCAGGAGATGGCGGCTGGATCTTAGGTTGTTTCTTGGTATCTCCAGTGCTGAAGACTTCTGGAGGGGGCTCCTCCCCTCGCTCAATCTTGCACTCGAAGGCAAACAGGTACTGAATGTATTGTTTCTTCAGGGAGCTGGCTGCGCTGCTCGAGGTGCCAACGTTCAAGGTGGTTGCCAGCTCACGCCACTTCTTGTTTTTATTAACCTAGCAAAATAAATGGCAGAATCATTGGTTTGCGGCAAAGCGGTTTGTTTAAGTCAGGAGATAAAAAAAATGGAAAAAAAAAGGGGGGTAAAAAAAAAAGCACTTAAATGTCTTGGTTTACTTTTTTTATTTTCCTCTTTTAACTAACGCTCATTACTCCCACACGCAGTAATGCATAGACAGCATTTACAGTTATAAAACCATTAAGGAACCTGCTGATAGCTACATAAAAAGCTTTGCTTGCGGAGAGTCTTCTGCATGGTGCATTTTTTAAATGCCTTGAGCTCTTCCAGGGCCTGTACTCTTCCGTTAGCAATCCATCTCCAAGCAAATTCGTGCTCGTTCTCCCCCTCTCCGACACTCGCCCACACCCACCCCATTCTAACTAAAAAGCAGCTTCTCAAAACTAATTTAGAAAGCAATAACAGCATTATTCTGCAATTTAAGTGTTTGAGCATTGATATGAAAAATAAAATTTTCTCCAAAATAGCCACCAGCTGTCAAACAGTTCAGCCGATAATTCCTGGTTCAAGTCCTGTCACTTTAGGGCGTCTTGCAGGGACAGATCAATGATCCTTCGGCAAGATGAGAGGCAGGGTGAAGCGAGGCCCCTTAATTAATTAAGGCAGACTTCAAACACACGGGGCTAGTCCAGCAAGACTCTGTATTACAGTGCTGACGGCACAACTCCGCTGCGAGTCTTGTTTGCAGTGTAAGGCTGAGAATATTCAAAGACTCTGTTCATGAGTTCCTCAAACACAGCTGATCTGTAGTAACAGTGAAGTTCATTTGCCATCCTGGATGATGCCACTTGCTCGCTCAGCTGAACAACTCGCAGACGGTATTTTGGCTGTAATACCTGATGCCCCAAAGTTCATTCAACCCGTTGTGCAATTGCTAAGGTACGATCCAAGGAGGGGAGGCAGCACTGAAATAAATGCGCTTTAAACATCTGAGCATCTCAGCTTTTGTTGGGGAAGAATCCCGATTCTGGCACATCCTGGTGACTGCTACTTGCCCTGAGGCCTGAGATTTTAATGACTCCAACTTAACTTGTATAGCTGCAAAGGTTATCATTAGCCATACTGTTCCTAAGCCTGCGTGCCACCAAAGGAAACATTTCTTATGTCTCTGTCAGCATTTAATAACACGGTAACCACTGCCAGTCAGCAAAGATCTTTTGAGGATAGTGTTAACAGCAAGCAGGTTGGCACGGCTATGCAAACCATTTTGATTTCTCTGGTACATCCTGCAAGAACCCAGGAGTTAAAGGAGAGGAGATTTTCATAAACTGTCCCTGTTGAGGCTTGAAATCCAGTTACAGAGCCCTTTGTGCCTACTGACTTACAGCTGAGTGGTGCGTAATGAACACACTGCATAATGCAAACAGAAACATTCGTGCCTAAATGCCCGGTATATTAGCATTTAGAAGAAGACTGCCAACAGCTGGGCTGTTCGTGTGGGGACCCCATCAATTGCAGCTATTTGGGGAATACGTACCGCTGCTCCACAGCTCCACTCCCCGTCACTCCCCGGGCAGATTCACCAGATGTGGAGTGCGGCAGTTGGAGTAACAGCTTTTCAGGAGAGCATCACTCAGATGCATTTAAACAAACCTCAGGAAGCAAAGCTCTGCACCTCTCAGTGGCCCCCAACAGATAAACACAGTGATCATTCACGTGGGCACACCAGCAAAACCAGGAGCCTTTATTTTAAGTGTCAATTTTTACCAGTGCTGAGGCACACACATTTGTAACTCCAGCTCTTTCAAAAATCAGTCTGAGTGAACAGCATCTATTCTTTAGCAATGCATAACGTCTGTCACTGCAAATCAACACTGAGTGTCCCAAAATAAAATAAATTTCCATAATAAGCAAACATGAATGACTCTCTAGAATATCCCATCTGCCCTTCATCTTCCTTAATTTTTGATGCTAAGAGCCATACCATGGGCACAATCACGCCGTATGAGGCAGAGCAGCTGCATGATACGATTTACCTGTAATAAAGTTTCTGAGCGAAAAGTAATCAAATCTTTATGATGCTGGGGGGCATGAGCTGATCACTAAAAATGACAGGATAACATCTCTTACCCATATACAGCATTTAACAACTGGCAAGGTGAACTACATTAGGTTTCTCTGCCTTCCTTTAATAACAGGAATAGTTAAAATCTCTGGCCTCGAAGGGCCAATGATCTAATTCAGCAGTTAAAACCTATGTTGTGAGGTGTACTATTACAAATAGCACTGAAAATGGTACTAATTGATGTTGGACACTTCTTTCTTGAACTAACCACACAGACAATTAAAAAGTGCTCTCTTTCTGAGGATCTCATTTGTTTGCCACAATTTTGAGTTCAGATTTTGTAATGAGTGTAAAATTTTATCTATTTAAACATTAAATATTACCTATTTTATACTAAATACTGTATATACATATTTATCTACATAGCTATGTTTAAGACCTTCACCTTGCAAAGCACTGAACATCCACAAATGTGCTTAAATCCACAGAAATTATGGCTCTCAGCACTCCACAGTGGCTTCTAGCACCCACCCAGAGCGACCCCCCTAGACGCAAGGGACGCTTTGTAAAAGCATCAGGCAAGGACAGATGGCTTCGAATGTCAAATCTAGGGCTGCAAATACTGACCATTTTCTCCTGCTTTCCCTTTCGATGGTGCTGGACAATGAAACATCTAGTTTTGCTCTGTGGTAGTCAATCTTACAGAATGCAGAAGTAATTTCCAAACATCGCTTTGTGAAACTTCCAGTTAACCGGTGAGAACATAACCCAAAGCTGCTCTCTCCCATCTGTGACTTTGTTATTCTCAGCTCTTCCTGCTTTCACTTTCCTTCATCTCAGTTAAGTAACTCACCTTTTCTTCGTAATCATTATGTTTGTAAGGCAACCCAAAATATCCTGTAAGCATTTTCCAAACACAGCGAAAGCAGAGTCCCTAAGAAACAAATGTACCGTCCAGAGACACTCAGAGATGCAAGGTTTGGGACGAAGGACTGTGTTTCAAGAACATCCCTGCCACTTCTCTGGAGAGATGAATTGATTTGTTTTCCTAGAGGCAGTATCCCTATCTGGGCAGGATGAATTTCAAAATCTCCTTTTCCTTTCAGCTCTACCATCTGTTTCTTACTTGTAACTTTGATCCAAAGGCCTTTTCCTCTTTTCCTCTCTTAATAGCATTACTGGGTTCCCCTGAACCGGTAACAATTTCATCTGTCTATAGCAATGGTCAATTCTGATTCAAACGCTAGAGTTTTAGGGCAATTATGCAGCCTAAAATGAACTCCAGACAAATATTAAAGCATGAAACTCTTATTTTCTTCAATAATGTTGTCAGGGCTGAAAATGTACTGGCGTAACCAGGAAGAAATAGTCTAGAAAAAAAATACGCATCGCCTTCTCCAAAGGTTCACTTCCAAGCACCTCTTCTCACCTGTGCTAAACCTCCGATCTCTTTGACGCAGACATAGAGCCTGAACAGGTCCAGGGGCTTCTTGCCCACGGCTGGCAGACTGGCCACGGGCGTGCCCCTCTCCTCCATGAAGGTGAGGTACCGATCTACCCACATCTTGCGCTCCGGCTCGTTTCCCAGCTCATAGACTTTAGTGATCTTCTCTCCAGTTGTGGTAGAGGAACTTGATTTCTAAATCGTAAGAAGAAAAAAAAGAGTTGGGGGAAGGGTGGGAGGGGGAGGGAAAAGAAAGTAAGAAACTCACAACACTGAAAAAGAGAAGATGTCAAACAAACTAAAGCTATCACACAACAGTCAGGAATGAAGGCTACTAGTTCAGGCACAAACAGTACATTCTGTCCATATACGGAAAATTCAGCTTTTTAAATAACGGGCCCAAACTCCCCATTTTCATATTTCTTTCACTGATCTGAACTTTGGATCCCAGAAGGCAAGTTTCTGATGTTGCCTCATGTCATTTTAAGAAGAGGTAGCTCCAACACAGTGCTTCTCATCCACTTATATCAAAGCGCTTTGCAAACAATGGTTTGGGTAAAATTAAAACCAAGCTTGTCCCACACAAGTTTAAATAATCCTAAAACCAAGCCAAATCTGCCCTCTCTTCTCTGCCCGCAAAAAACGGGATAGAAAACCTGAAAGTGTTCCTCCAGAACAGGAATTGCACAGAACTAGCCTAAAGCGTAATTCGTGGCAAACTAGGACACGGAGAAGTAGTTCTCTCTTCAGAGAGTCACAAATGGTTATGCTTTACTAGGCCTTCACCGCTGCCCAAAAAGCAAGAGAAGCAAGAGTGCCTACAGTACAAGGAGACCGACGGCAACACTCATCGTGAACTGCCGATCACCCGCCCGAGCCCGTAATGCTTATGAGTAGCTACTACTCTCCGCCCTTGAAAAAGGACGGAAGACAGCCATCTCACACGTCCTACCTGGCACAGAGGATGTGTATTATGACCTGGGGAAAAGCAGGGATGCACAGCGGTCAGAGCTGAACCACCAAGACTAGAAAAAGCAAAAGAGGTGGAAAGAGCAGAATTCTTTCTCATGCAGGAGCGAACCCGTTTTCCTGCTGCTGTTTGGGCTTTACAGCTAACAAAAGCTCACGTTATCTTGATGCCCTTTCCTCCTCAATGTGGAGATGGCAGAAAGCACTGAGGCTGCTACGCAAGCTGTAACTTCTCACCGTTATCTTCCCTGTGCAATATAAGGCCGTGAGCTGGGCTCTGTGCCACGGGCGGATGGACCGCTCCTTCTCCAAGATGCCCCTGACCCGACAGCAGTGAGGGGCGGCTGATGCCGCCAAAGACCCTCCTGTTTGCAGAAGGTGAAGTGATTTGCTCAGCAGTGGAAGACGGGAGTGGTTCAGAATTAAATGCAAGAGAAAAAGATTGATAGAAAGCTTTAGGAAAGGAGCCAAATATATGAAGGGAAACATATCCTTTATGTCGGTATAGTAAAATCCGAAACTTGGTTGTTGATTGCAGTAGACAGTTCTTTAAACTCATCTAGTCAATCACTCTTTCACTCCTTTTCCTTACTTTGAACAGGAGACAGCACTGCCCTGATGTGAACAGGAACTTATTTCTAGTTGACCATCTCTAAAGAAGACCCTAGCTGTACCTCACCGATGCTACAGAACCACCCACTTCGTCCATGGCCCCACAGAGCACTGGTGAGGACTGGCACTCAGCACCATGAAAGATGCAGTGGGGTAGCATCCAAGGATTTTAAAAGCATTGCCATAATTCATCTTGCATGTTAGCCTGGAATATACGACAAGCTCTGTATCTCCCTCCAGCCATTAGCTGAAACTCGGCAACACTGGAGGAGAGCCAGGAGAAAAGAGCAGCCAAGGGGGGTGACCCAGCAGTTCCATAAGCCATTGCTGTTCTTTCCAGTGAATGGATTTTCATTTTAATTAAATAAATAGTCTCCTGTAAGGTTTTCAGTCTTGCTTCCTGATACTGTAATTTCTTTGCAGTAGTCCTTCCTACAGACAGATGTTACTACCTTTCTTACTCAGAAATGAGGTGCGCTCCTGAATTTACTTGAGTCAGATTCAGTTGTGTTACAACTCCTACTGAAGTCAGAATCAAGGCTGAATTTGTTTTAGGAATACTAAGTGGCCAGCAGGAAAGTACTTTGACATGAGTCCTGCAGATCCTGCGACGAAAGCACAAATTGATTCTGTAGCGGCAACCAGTTTACTCCAAGCATCATTTGCTATGTATCTGGGTGTTTAAGAAACTCAGTTTAACAACAAATACACTTTGTCCAAGGTTTTTTTGGGGGGCGGGTGGAAAGAGGGAAGTAGGCAAGTCATGTTGCTACCAATTTGGTTTTGTAGCAAGAGATACCTGACCACACAGGCTTGAACAGCTGAATAAATTGGAGCTACCCCACTACTAACTGCAGTAAGAACAAAGTTACCCTACTGCTCATCAGCATTAATTTTAATCTGACACTCATGATGCTACAGAACTCTAATAAAAATGAAGGTGGGAAATTTCAGCTTTTACCCAGCAAATTTTGTATGTGCTTACATTCTAACATATGAGGCAACTAAACAGTTTCTATTTCACTTTTATAGTAGTTTACGATAAAGAACGTTCAGATTTATCAGTTTTACGTTTTCATTTTTATATGGGAAAAGATTCTCTTGCTCAAACCAGATTCAGAGCAGAATGGAAACAGTTAAGAATTTTTTGTTCTGTTTTTTTCTCCCATACATCTCAAATGATGCTGCTTTTCAGCAGTGTGGCAGCAGGCTCTAAAATGACAGTATAATCTGAAAACTTTTCACAGCTTACAGAAGGTAAGAAGTGTTTCTTACTGTGTGAGCTTTCAGCTTGTCATGCTTTGTAAAATGGGTGCAATTTTCTTCTAAAATGAAATGTTAACTTTAGAAGAATGCACTGGAGGGAAGAATGCTATTCCTCAAGAGTAAAGATCTTTTTCTCTTCTCTATTTTTACAAATGTAAACATATAAAAATGACAGATGTGTGCAAGCTAGTCTACACACAAACGAACTTCACTTCCACACGGGCAGGTTCAGTTGGAAGCCTAGATTTGCCTATAGGTAAATGTTAACCCTCAGAAAAGAAGAGTTTATTACAAAATGATCCCATTAGCAGATTGTTAACTAAAATGAGTGCATGCCAGGCCATGCTGGAAGAATACAGATCACGAGCTTCTCTTATGTTAAGTTTGTTGATAATTTCAGTGATAAAAGAATGCTAGTGCAAGCCTGTGGCACATACCTTTACCAATTTAGTTGTCACCTACTCTGCCCTCAATCCCCAGCACTCTTCTACATGGTATGACTGGTCATATTTAAATGGGCAATTTAAAAAACCCCACCAAAGTATGTGGGTACCAAAGCCAATTCCCATACTACATCTGTCAAACCCCATATTTTATTTTCAATACACCTACCACCTATTAAAACTGTATTATATACAGACCCTTGTATGGCGAGTCTGCAGAAACCTTCAGAGCAACACAAATTTCTGTAGGAGTTCTTTTCGCATTAAGGCAGTGGGTAGTTGTTTCTGTACATACCTTTAAGCATCTATATTTATAGAACTATCTACCCTTCACTTCCCCCACTTCAACGAAGAATTTTCCAGTATTACAGCTATCACATAGGCCTGTTTTACTACAGAACAGAGTGTGCATATGCAGGCAGCAAAACCTGCCACAGTCCATGCTCTGGCAATTTCGCAGGACACAATCCTCTGTCAAGGACTCTGCAGACCCCTCACAGCTAGCACCAGGGAGATACAGTGCTATTCACATGTATTCACTGTTATCTTCATGGGTACCTACGGACAGTGAACAGCATTTTATGGGGTTTTCATAACCTACTGTTTATTCATGTTGCAGCGACCCTGTAGAGTTCACACCCACACTTTAAATTTCTCTTTTCAAGAATTTTAAAGCCACCTCGCCACTGTCAGGGATGTAAACCACATGCAAAACTAGCATAGCAGCAGTGTCCTTTCACAGATGTACCTGAAGAGCCCTCAAAACATAACGTTCAACAATTCCTTCTCCACATCTTCTCACGCCTCACCTCCATATAAAACTGCTGAAAGAGAGGATCCACTTAGTAGGATCACAGGGATACCGTGAAGTGAACCACAGACCATTCACCCTTGCTTTTATCCTCTGCTGGAATGTAGAAGTTGTAGCACATGAAGCAGCTTTGGGATTTAATGAACAAATGCAGGCTGTTTTCAAGTGTAATGAAACGCCTGCAATCAATTGTTCCAGTCTATGTCAGGCTGCTGTTGGGAGTCGATGAAGTTATCCAATACACTGGACTTCATAGGGAAAAAAGGATCAGCTAATTTACAGCACTTATTTTTCTGTCGTTCCGAAGCACTGTATTTATCCATATCTGTGTACCAAGAAGCTAACTGAAGCTAAAGATGCAGCAGCATTTGCACAGAAGGACATTCAGAAGAAACTGAAAGCACAAACTTTCTCCATTTATTTTTTCCAACGCTATACTTTGCATATTTACATGGAAAAAACTCCACGTATGTTCACGATGACTCTAGGATTTGTTACGCAGTTTATGCAATGAGCTCAGGAATGCATTATCATTTAGTAGGCTTGCAGAGGAAGAACTCGATGTGTTAGCCTGTGCAATAACTCTCTTGCCTTCCCCCAGAAAACCACCCAAACAAGCAATACCCAAAACATTACTACAAGAAAACTAACAGAGTTTTTGGTGCCACGCTTTCAGAAATGCTGTTAAGATGAGACTTGGTGGGAACAAGTAACACCAGCTGCCTTCTGAGACTCAAAGTCACTGCCAAATAAACATCAAAACATCAAGGTGATGCATTTCATGCCATGCTGCCCCTTTGCTCAGGGGATTTGCTAGACGTCGCATTTTTGGATGGGCCAATCTTTTTCCCTCCAATTGGCCTTCCTCTGTTTGCCCTGAGACACGCTCTTCAACATATCACTTTGTGAAAATGAAGTGGTTATCAAGGAATTGTTGCTAATTTAAGTGTACATTAACATTGGAAAAAACCCCTTTATACTCCTCACAAGAATGTATTTCAGTATTTTTCTACAGAGAAATTATGATCATTATTACTTCTGGTAAAAAGAAAGAAAAGAGGAATAATATATATTTTTCTAATTCAAAAAATCAAAGCAAAAGTGACCAAGCAGACACTTGATCCCCATAGGCCGTATCAGCTTCTATCTGCATTCTCTTTTTTATATATGTACATAGATTTTCTATGTGTGTATATATATATATACGATGAAATTAACTTTTAGCTCCACACATCTCTCTCAGGTTTTTCTTTACAACCTGCATGAGAATGACTAAACATTATTCATCTAAAAAATAGTTTTCTAAAACCATACATGCATCAGGGTTTTTTCTACCCACAATCTGGGTTCTTTCAAAGTAACCGAATGAAGCAAATCAGAAACAATTTTGGTTTAGACTGTACCCTGATAACCTAATGACTGTATTTCCAAATACACAATTCAAAATTAAAAACATTTCAAAAATACAGATGGCAGCTTTTTCGTGGTGCTGAGTCTACAATTTAAACTTTGATGGATATTAGTTTCAATAGGGGAGAAGATTTCTCATGTTGTTTTGTTTTGTTTTGTTTTTCCTAAATAATCCTAGCAGAGACAAGTGCAGCAACCAGAGTGAAGTCAGTTGTGTGAAGGAGTTTGGGCCCAGGAACAGAAATGGAATCGTCCTTAACAACACAGTCGGCATGCTTGGAAGCTGATGCATTACAAGAAGGATGTTTTCTTCACAACAACTGCTGTATTACCAGACAGCACACTTGCATGATGCACGCAATTTTACTCTTTCTTATTTCATAGTACTGTTGGGACAAATTTTGCCCTTGGATAAGCATGCTCAGGCCCCACTGAAGCCAGGCAGTGGAACTTACAGTCATGTGTCCGAGAGCAGAATTTGTACCCAGTGTTATAAAGAAAGAAAACTGTTTAGTGGATAAATAATGAAGAAAAGGAATTTACAAAACAAACAAGCAAGCATTAAAATATAATTAATTACAAAAAAATAAACAAAAACCAAAAAAACCAGAGCCACTTACAGGGCTTGATGGAGTCTTTGGCCAGCCTGGGCTGCTAATGCTATCACTTTCATCTCCATGAAATGAGGAGATGCTAGCAGAGCTTGGGGACATTGGGGAAGGGACTGGCAGGTTGCCTGGGGTTGGGGGCTGAGAAATACCCTGAGAGCTGTAGCTATCCTGTGGTAGAGGAATAAAAAAAAAAAAATATGACAAAGGCAGGGCAAACTTTATTAAAAACAAAAAAAATACATCCAGTTTAACAGACTGACCAATTTTTATATATAAAATATATATAAACAGAGAGACACATACAGAAAACACACACATATATAA